CCAAGTCTTGACTGGAAACAAAACATCTAATTCTTGCAATGTTTTTGAGATGATAGTATGCTGATTTAGTTACTGCTTTGATATGATTACTGAAACTAAGGTCTGTCTCCAGAATCACACCAAGATTCTTGAGTTGATTTTTAGGTGTTTGACCCCTAGAGTCAAGGTATGCATTCACCTTGAGAACTTCATCTTTGTTTCCAAATGCAATGACTTCAGTTTCCTCCTTGTTTAACTGAAGAAAGTTCTGGCACATCCAACTGTTAATTTCATCAATGCATTGGCAGAGGGAGTCAATGGGGCTGTAGTCATTTGGCGATAAGGTTAGGTAAATCTGGGTATCATCAGAATAGCTGTGATCGGCAATTTGGTTCTTTCTCATTATTTGACTTAGTGGGAGCATTTACAGGCTAAATAAGAGCGGTGCAAGAATTGAGCCTAGTGGGACTCCGCATGTCATGGTCGTCCACTTAGACTTACACTCTACTATACTCACATAATAGCCTCTCCCTTCTAAGTATTACCTGAACCATTTGAGTACCATCCCACAAAGCCTGACACAGTTTTCCAGGCTCTCTAGAAGTATGTTATGATCGACAGTGTCAAATGCAGTAGTAAAATCTAGTAGTACCAGCACTGATATTTTGCCAGAATCAGAATTAAAGTGAATATAATTTATTATCTTATTATTATTATTTAGAAAGAAGCATTAATCTAGATTAACAAATGCTATGGAAAAAACAAGTTAGAGAGAAGAAACAAAGTCAAGTCATTCTCACCAGAACATTAAGGTTAAATCAGAGAAAACTAAAGTTCCAGATTTGGAAATAACGTTTTTAGCAGCTACCAGCTTTTGACCAATGAGAGCCAGCATTTGCGTGTTGCTGACTGTGCCTATCGCTGTCCGCAGGTGTGTGTGCTGTCGGGGTGTGGGCTGATGTATGGGCAGAGGCCTTGCTCAGGTGTGAGCTAATCGAGTGTCAAATGAGCCTGAGAGGAATCTTGCACTGAGCGGTTCAACGATGCAGCTGTGGCCTCCTCCAAACTTGCACACACACACACACAGACACACACATTCACTTTTCTGCACACATGCACAATGGACAACAAAAGAGTGGAGCTGAAAACATTCACCTGGATGCACACAGCAGTACCAGGCTGTCACCACACATGTGTAAGTAGGACGGTCCATAAGCATGAGCACTAGGAAATCTAAACAAAAGAAAAATAAGATTTGCGGGGAAGCCAGGCAGTTTCGACTTTTTTAATTCGTTTAAATGGCTTGTTACTTACACTTGAAGAAAGCTGCATTGTTTAATATCTCTTTTGCCATTTTGCGCTCTGTCTGTTTGGACTGCTTGTGTTGGCGAGGTCAGGGCAGGTGAAGGTTTCTTCACCGGTGTGGAAGGGCCATCTGTGTGCGGCTGGTGATCTGACTGGCGACCGTCTCCTTGACCTGCCAAGGATGGTCGAGAAGGGACTTAGCAGAAACTATACTCCCAACCCCCCGCCTTCATTCTCTACCTCTCCCTCTATTGTCAGTCTACTTCTTTCAGCTCTTTATTCTTCATTTCGCTCCCCAGAGACAGAGAGACGTGCAGCAGCTGTGCCCCAGCGAAAAAGGAAAGATTTTAGAAAAGGATTGAAAGATTTTTTAAAAATGCCAAATATAAAAAAAAAAAAAAAAAACGAAAAGAGAAGGCAGGGTGGGAGATCGACCGTGACCCCATAAGTGCCGCAGCATCGAACGGTGCACAGCAATTCTTATTCCACACCTGTTTGTGTGGTCATTCGAGTGTCAGTGTAGATTTAATTGTGAGGCATACAGGAGTTTGATACCTCTGTCACCCCCAGTTAATTGTGCCTCTTTCCTTCTTTAACTGTCTGCTCTTCACAGATTCACTTTTAATTAGCTGCCACACTGGTGTGTCAGTGCAACGGGGGAGATGTGCCTGACACACTCTCCGTTAGAAGAGAACGAACTGCATCCTGTCACGAGAGGCAAATACAGGAAGTCTGAAATTATGTGCGTCCTGCTTCTCAAAAACGATTCCAATTATGTTGTGTGGATTACATGCATTTGGAAGACAAAACTATAACCAAGGAATTCAAAAAATATAAATAAATACATCCACAAGTGAAAATATGCATGTCAACATAGTTGTTTTCTTAGTGAGAACTGTCCTCTAAGCATATACTTAAACAGCATTATGGAGAAATTAGTCATGTACCACAACCTAGCAAGCTGCCTCATCGCCTTCATAGGAAGCAGCCTTCTAAGGTCATGGCACACAGGAACTCATACAAATAATGCTCATGTTAAACACAATGTCAATACAAACAACATGAGTGTAACGATGCATAATCTGATAAGAATAAATGTAATTTCTGTATTTAAAAAATGTAATTGGTATATAAAAAAAACGCTTTGACAGATGAATGAAATGTTATCCCAATAAATAAGTCACTTTTCACATTTGCTTGTAAAGTATTTTTTTAGCAGCAGAAATAGATTGACTTGTGTAAATGGTCATATAAATATTTTGCCTTATCCTAAGCTAAACTGCTATTTATAGCCGTAACACACTCCTGTTAAAGAGACACTGTTGTATTTTGATGTATTCTATCAATAAAATCAACATCAGACATTTTAGTTTTTTATTTTATTTTAAATACAGGCTACAAAAGGTAAATATACATAAATCGTCTCGTTTACTTATGTAACCCCCATTCCCTGAAGGAGGGAACGGAGACGTCACGTCGGAGGACCGAC